TAATTACCTGCTCCATTATCTTCCCTGGGACAGACGTTAAACTGACCGGTCTGTAGTTTCCTGGGTTGTTCTTATTCCCCTTTTTATAGATGGGCACAATATTTGCCCTTTTCCAGTCTTCTGGAATCTCCCCTGTCTGCCATGATTTTTCAAAAATCATAGCTAAAGGCTCAGATAGCTCCTCTATCAGCTCCTTGAGTATCCTGGGATGCATTTCATCAGGACCTGGTGACTTGCTGACATCTAACTTTCCTAAGTGATTTTTAACTTGTTCTTTGTGTATCCTATCTTCTAAACTTACCCTCTCTCTGCTTGTATTCACTACGTTAGGCACACCTCCAGACTTCTCGGTGAAGACCGAAACAAAGAAGTCATTGAGCATCTCTGCCATTTCCAAGTTTCCTGTTACTGCTTCTCCCTCCTCACTGAGCAGTGGGCCTACCCTGTCCTTGGTCTTCCTCTTGCTTTTAATGTATTTATAAAAGGTCTTCTTGTTTCCCTTTATGCCTGTAGCTAGTTTGATCTCATTTTGTGGCTTTGCCTTTCTAATCTTGCCCCTGCATTCCCGTGTTGCTTGCCTATATTCATCCTTTGTTAGTTGTCCTAGTTTCCATTTTTTATATGACTCCTTTTTTATTTTGAGATCATGCAAGATCTCCTTGTTAAGCCAAGCTGGTCTTTTGCCATATTTTCTATCTTTCCTACACAGCGGAATTGTTTGCTTTTGGGCCCTTAACAATGTCCCTTTGAAATACTTCCAACTCTCCTCAGTTGTTTTTCCCTTCAGTCTTGCTTCCCATGGGACCTTACCTACAAGTATGTGTGTGTGTGTCTGACTAGCTTGTGTATGTGTGTGTGTGTAGCTAGCTTGTGTGTGTAGCTAGCTTGTGTGTGTGTGTGTCTGTCTGGCGAGCTTGTGTGTGTGTGTAGTTAGCTTGTGTATGTGTGTATATGTGTCTAGCTAGCTTGTGTGTCTGTAGCTAGCTTATGTAAGTGTGTGTGTCTAGCTAGCTTGTGTGTGTAGCTAGCTTGTGTGTGTGTGTGTCTGTCTGGCGAGCTTGTGTGTGTGTGTAGTTAGCTTGTGTATGTGTGTATGTGTGTCTAGCTAGCTTGTGTGTCTGTGTAGCTAGCTTCTGCATGTATGTGTGTCTAGCTAGCTTGTGTGTGTAGCTAGCTTGTGTGTGTGTGTGTCTGTCTGGCGAGCTTGTGTGTGTGTGTAGTTAGCTTGTGTATGTGTGTATATGTGTCTAGCTAGCTTGTGTGTCTGTAGCTAGCTTATGTAAGTGTGTGTGTCTAGCTAGCTTGTGTGTGTAGCTAGCTTGTGTGTGTGTGTGTCTGTCTGGCGAGCTTGTGTGTGTGTGTAGTTAGCTTGTGTATGTGTGTATGTGTGTCTAGCTAGCTTGTGTGTCTGTGTAGCTAGCTTCTGCATGTATGTGTGTCTAGCTAGCTTGTGTGTGTAGCTAGCTTGTATGTGTGTGTGTGTGCTCTAGTTAGCTTGTGTGTCTGTGTAGCTAGCTTGTGTATGTGTGTGTGTGTGTAGGTAGCTTGTGTGTGTATGTGTAGCTAGCTTGTATATGTGTGTGAGTCTAGCTAGCTTGTGTGTGTGTGTAGCTAACTTGTGTGTGTAGTTAGCTTGTGTATGTGTGTATATGTGTCTAGCTAGCTTGTGTGTCTGTTGGCTAGCTTGTGTGTGTGTAGCTAGCTTGTGTATGTGTGTGTGTGTCTGGCTAGCTTGTGTGTGTGTGTAGCTAGCTTGTGTGTGTGTGTGTGTGTGTGTAGCTAGCTTGTGTGTGTGTGTGTGTGTGTGTAGCTAGCTAGCTAGAAAAGGAAGAAGAGCTGTGATCTGCAGACTTGTGAGTAACACTAACAACATTTCCCACGGCAGATAAACCCCTCTTTCATTTCCAGAGCAGTGAATTGCTGGGAGAGAGGGGGGGGGGCTGCG